AATATTTACTGAAGTAAAATAGAATTAAAAAAAAAAAGTTACTAACTAATAAATATTACTTTTTGTATCAATTTAAACTGCTTAAATTGAAAGTGGATAAATTTTTTTCATTTCTGACGACAATTGTTGCTGAAATGACGGCAATATCAGATACGCTTGCGCTATCTAATTATATCACTGGTTGTCGTTTTACTCACACGACATGACTAATAAAATATAACATTTTCTTCACATTTATTTTTTATGTAAGTCTCCAAGCAAAAAAGTGAGACGTTGTCTGCCGAACATTTTCATCAGCAATTTCCAAGGAAGTTGAAAAATCATCGGCATCGCGGTAGCTCAGGAAACAAGAAAAAATTTATGTTACGAATATTCTTATTGCAAGAATTAAATTTATCGCGAAAGATATAAAAGAGTACCTACATTTTTGCCTGACAAAAGTTGAATTTTGCAGATCTAAATATCAGTCAAAGGACAACAAGTCCTAATAACGTTAAAGCATTGATAGCGTCGCTCGGTACACCGAACAATGTTTGATGTGGTTAACACTCATTAATAACGTTCTGTCAAAGTGTCATAACAAAATTGATCAGAAGCAATTTGCATTTGTGAAATGCGAAATAGCTTCGACGATATACGCAGCAAAATGTTCAGTGGATAACGAGATATCGGATAGATAATGACGTAATCACGTAATGCTTGTAAATCGACAAACAATCGTATCAACGATCGTTTGCGTTCCTGCAAATATTGCCTCGTGTAAGAGATATGGGAAAACATTAATGAAATTACGAGCGCGTTTTAGACGAGAGCCGAGCGCGGAGAAGCAACGAGATGAAACGGATGGTAGTCGGCAAGATAAATATTATCCAGCGAATTAAGTCTATAAGACCACGTAATCATCCAGATGAAAATTTGTTGATATAAATGCCAGGTATTGTTGAAATCTTATAGAAGCATCGAGAGAAAAGAGAGGAAAAAAGGAAGAAAAGCAATAGAAAAGGATGAAAGATAAGAAAAGAGCGCGGACGAGACATGTATTTACAACAATGCTTCATGTGTATTTGTCTTTGCAATCATAAAATGAAATAAATCACGGAAAAGTTTGGAGAAACTTGCCTGAACTTGCTTTTCGTGTTTGCAACATCAGCGATATCGATATTTTAAATTGAAGATTTCTATGGTTCTATTTACATGAATTGTCGCAGAAGTAATTTTGTTTCTTCACATATTTTTCATTCCATTATTTCCATTATCCACTTATTCGATTTTTTCCATCACCGACTGTAACTCGTGACGTATTTTTTTCAACTCCTATACAAAAAATTAAATATAATATCATATAAGAACTGAAACGCACATTTATATCTGACATTTCGCCTCTCCCCAAATTTTCAGAGACATTATATATTTATATTTTCATTAGACAAATGAGCATGGATGGCAAATAACGCATTACTTGCCATCTCTGCAAATGAGATATACATGTATATGTATCATAATCAAACAATCACATTTAAATATAAAATATAAATCGTAGAACTCTTTCTTTAGATATCCTTTTTATGAAAATTTTTTAGACATTTACGTTATTTGCGGGATATTATGTTTAAGATTCACATATCTCTAGAAACACATTCCAGTAATATGTGATGCTTTAACGAAATATTATATCTTGCTTCATGATGATATTTCAAACAAAATTGTTTGTGCATTACAATCAAGTTAATGAACTATGCAACATTGAGATTACTATGAAATATCCATCAATGATTATAAGGTTTAAAATAACAAACGGTATATAATCCTATACTCTATCGCGTAATAGTCCAAACACGTACATCAACTAAAACTGAGAAATGCAATCTTTGGGATATTAATGTGCTCTATTTACTCATCACGTCGCACGCTTCGTCTTCTTATTATATATAAAATTGCAAATAGATTCTTTTACAAATATACAAATTATTATATAAAAATTGTAAAAAGTAATTAAAGTACATAATTATTATTTATGTTAAATAGCATATATATTTTTTGAAAACGGATTGTGATTTATATTTTAAAAATTTACAGATTTATTTTATAAAATTAGATTTTGAAATTGCCTTATGAAAATAGGAAATAAATTGAATAAGAAAATAAAAAAATATCTATCTATCAAAAAATGATGTAAGAATGAAATAACAATGAAATATTTTTTTAAATATATATATATATATACATATATTTAAAGATTACCTTGATTAGTCAGTGACATATGTATGAAGAAATTATTAATCAATGTGTTAGGCTTAACATTTTCGTTGCATTTATGTCTTCCAGAAGATAAAAGAAGTTTCACTACGTGATACAAAAAAATTGAATCTAGATGAATGGTAAGTTTTTGTGTATTTACATTGTACAAAAACATATGTACAAAAAATATAATTTAATATCACAGTTGAGAGATAGTACAGAATTACTTTTAATTCGTTCCATCTGGTCGTGATCTGCCTGCAACTTTCGGCATCTTTTTGTTCGTTGAATCTTCTACTTCTTTAGGCTTATAATAATGGGGTGCCACTTCGAGCAACCATTTGCTTTCAATTTCTGTCACCTACACAATACATATGTTTGAATCACAAAGATATAATCTTTTATAAGCTTACAAAATTAAATTTAGACTATTGTTTTATATTTTATATTATAACATATACCTGACGCATAAATTCTTTGGTAGTTAAGACAAGTTCGTGATAAAGAAGCCAACGCGGAAGATCTTGGAATAGGGAACTATTTGGATGTATCGCAACTTGTTGATTATGCTTTGCAGTTTTGTAACAACCTCCCTTCGATAAACGTGCCACGTGATAGAAATAACCAGCTGTAATAGCCTAAACAAAACATTTTTCCATTATTTTATGAAAAAATCCATAATATCAACACATTATGATATTACCTTTCTAATATTGATTGTTTCTGTAATTCCCGAGACCAATTCCATCTCGACACGCTGCATCAAACCTACTAGCTGTTCTCTAACATCTCTTGCCCGTTTCATGGATCTGAAAGATAAATCGTGAGAAATATATTTTGTAAAACTTTATTAACATTATGAATATTGACATACCTGTGCTGTATGAAATTTTCGTAACACCAATGTGTACTAAAATCGCTCTGTGCCCATTGATTGTACACATTAAGGAGAGTCAGATGATCACCGCCAGGTACGTGGAAATTCTTGCGTGCAGCATCCGCATGTATAATTTTATCCTTCGGTCTATAAAAGATAGCGCCATTCACCGAAAGCATGGCCGCGATGGTAGCCACCTCTTCCGAACAGCGATACTTCTCACTAGCTAACAGCATCTTCGCCATCATTGGATCCAGTGGAAACTCAGCCATTCTACGTCCAAGTTTTGTTAGCTCTCCACGATGATTCAGCGCACCTAGTGCGTACAACTGTTCCATCGCCAAAATCAGCGTTTCGGGCGGTGGTGGATCCAAGAAATCGAAATGCATCAAATCATCTATCCCGAGAGCTTTCAAAGTAAGCACTGCATTACCTGCAAACATCATCGAAATATTTTCATAGAAATTAAATTTAAACAAGTATAACTTAAAATTTTAGCAAGATACATCATTGATTCTTACCCAAATTAATCCGTTGTATTTCAGGCACGGTGTTATCTTCAAGCTCATGCTGATAAGCCCAAGCTGTATACAAACGAAAGCACTTTCCAGGTGCTACTCTTCCGGCGCGTCCTGCTCTCTGATTCGCGGACGCTTTGCTGATCGGCACGACTATTAAACTCTCCATGCCGGTGCGTGGATTAAAATTGTTCTGCTTCGCATAACCAGGATCTATCACGTATACTATGTTGTCTATAGTTAATGAAGTTTCCGCTATATTAGTCGCCAGTACAACCTTAAAGATAAATAAAGATTTAACTTTAGTCTAAAAAATATTTCAAAAAATTATCTAAAAAACTTATTTAAGAAAAATATTACCTTCCTCGCGCCAGGTGGAGTTGGTTGAAATATTTTTATCTGCATATCGCTTGGTAGATTCGCATAAACAGGTAAAATTAAAAGTTCTGCCAATTTGCTTCCTAGTCTTCTCACTCTCTCTTGTAACATTTCCTGACATGTTTCAATTTCCTCCTGCCCTTTATATAGAAATATATTTCGTTATGTCAAGTAACAGCATTTTGAATAATCCTAATGGTTGCAGCACAGACTTTTGCATAAAGCATAAAGCGTAAAAGAATCAACCAATCAAAATCTGCTCTTCCCTGAAATAAAAGGAGAAGAATTCTGATTGGTTGATTTGCTATACACTATGTGTTATGCAAGAGTCTGTGCTGCAGCCTTAACACTTACCGGTCAGAAATACCAATATATCACCCGATGGTTGCGTTACGTGAATCTGAATAATCGAAACTACACACGCTTCAATATAATCTGATTCCGGGGCTTTTGTATAATAAATGTCGACAGGAAAACGACGTCCAGGTATTCTAAATATAGGAGCATCGTCAAAAAATTCACTGAATTTTGTGGCATCCAACGTAGCCGATGATACCAGCAGCTTCAAATTAGGACGAAACCTCGCGATATCTTTCACCAGCCCAAATAAAATGTCAGTGTGTAAAGTACGTTCGTGTGCTTCATCGATTATCATTACACTAAAATGTGCAATAAATAAATCAATTATCATAATAATTTAGGATAATAATGTATTAATATTTAAAATCTAAATATTACTAACAATTTCCAAGTATGTTAAATATTATTATTAATATTAGGTTGAGTAAAAAGTCATCGCTATTTTTTAGCTCAAAGTTGTATATACAATATCTTCGTCAATAATGAATGAAATTCAAATTTAAAAAAAGGGTTTTAAAAAAATGATGAAATCTCTACTTTTAAAAGCTTATCACATTTTTTAAGTTTATATGAGTTTGATAATTTTTACATACCAAAAACTACGAGCTGAAAAAGACGAAAAATTTTCTTCTCACTTTGTGGATTTGTAACGTGTCCAAAACGAATTTGAGAAAATTTTCGATTACCTATCGTGAAAGCTTGATACTTTCCCTACAAAATCGTTTTTTTTAAATATTCCTACGACTTTTGATTACTGAGTTATCGCGGATTAAATAAAAGAATTATTTTTACTTTAATTGCTCATAACTCCATTAAAAATTGTCGTATCGTATAATTTAAAAAAGAGATTTTTAAAGCTGAAACTTTACTCTATCAAGATATATTTATATTGTTGGTAAGAAAGTAATTGCGATTTTTACTGATAGATGTCTTTCAAAAAACGCGATGACTTTTTTTTTATTAACCTAATACTTTTATTTCTATTTTCATGTTTTTTTCTTAATTATTCTATGAATAGTATACACATAGATATACCTGTACGACGCTAAATCGGGTTCACTGAGGAACTCTCGGTGTAATGTACCATCAGTCATATATTTGATACGAGTACGTTGCGATGTGCAATCTTCAAAACGAATAGCATAGCCAACTTCATTACCCAACTTAACGGCCATTTCATGAGCTACTCTCGCAGCCACTGACATAGCAGCTACTCGACGTGGCTGAGTGCATCCAATAATCTTACCGTCGTCCGCAAATCCAGATTCATATAAATATTGTGGAATCTGTGTTGTCTTACCTGATCCTGTTTCACCTTCTATTATTAAAACCTGAAATACAAATACATAAGCATCCTGTAACATTGTTGTTAAATATTCTATCTGCTTTCTACTTACCTGATGATCTTTGATAGCATGTATTAAATCCTTTCTGAAAGGATAAATAGGCAAACTTTTCTTTGTCTCCTGTATCGTTTGTAAACTTTTAACATGCGCGGGTGGACTTTCTTCCCGTTTCTTGTTCTTGTATCCAGGCATATGGAGCACTTGAACAAACTCTATCATCTCATCCTCCATGAGAAGATTATATTCTTGTTGAGCTATAATAGAAGATTGTAAGCTTACTTAATAGAAAGATAGATCACATAAACAATTACTTATCTTTAATTTAGTATATACCTTTCCTATCTTTAGCGCCAAAACGAAAAACAGCTGATGACATCTGATCTGATTCCCATTTACTTTGTTCAGATTGCGGTGGTTCCTTTTCCATTGTATCAGGTTCTGGCTCCGTTTTACCCTTTTCAAGAGGCATATGATAACGTTGCATACGCTCAAGTTCCCTTGCCTTCTCATGCTCCTTTGCCAAGTGCAACAACTGTTTCTTATGAGCTCTTTCATGTTTTTCTTTTTCTGTTAAACTATAAAATTTAAAATAACTTATTAAATAATAATATTATTATATTTTATATTAATTAATAATATTTTAATAATTATATTTTAAAGATATTAATTATATATATATAATAGCTCATCCATAAAATTACATGTTTTCATCAAATAGATATTCGTCATCAATAATATCAGCTTCTAGTTCTGCAACTTTGTCCTCTTTACGTTTCTCCAGGTATTTCCTACGAGACTCGATTCTCAATTTTGGTATTAGTTTATCTCTCGTATCAGTCTCTATAATTTTAAGTCTCTTTGCTGCTTCAGCTGCAAATAATAACAAGCAATAAGTAACATCTTTTAAAATGTTAAACATTCATAGATATTCTTTTTGGCAACTTACCAGCGCCGGATCCAGGGAGCGTAGCAACATTACGTCTTTTACTTTCATCTTTGGCTCTGAGACGACTGGCAAAGCTATCTCTTTCCTTGATATCCTTCTTGCGACGTTCTTCTTCACTGTCTGTATCCTCACTCGAGGATTCTTCCCGTCTGTATTTGCTCATTTTGGAAAGCATATCATAGGTTATGTCCGTATTTTTCTTTTCACTCCAAACTTTGGAATCGGAAAAGTGTATCGATATTACGTACAATCAAAAGTAGATGTACAATATACACAATAAGTACTTAAAAAATATCAGTTTTTACGGTACTAGAGAGAAGCCTGAGAGAGGCCGTACCAACCTTTTTTCTATTACCGTCGAAAGTCGAAATCATCGGTACACTACCGCCAGTACATCCATTTTCAGTTTGGGAACTACGTGACTACATACATTTTCTAACACTATCGACAAAATTATATCGTCAAAAGTAAATATGATGTAGTTCGTCTCTGTACTAATTCTCAGGCTAGAAGCGTGCCGACTATCCAGGAGAAATAATTTAAAATAGAACCACGAACGAAGAAATTTTGATTTTGCTTCTACGTATGTAAATAAAAGTTGTTGAATTTTAATAGACGAAATTGAAAATTTAAACAAGTTGATTAATTAGTTATTTTGTCTTACAATATCTTATAAAATTATGAAGTAATCTTTCTTCAAATTTTCAGCTCGTTTTTATCAAATATAATTACTAGTATGCATGTACAGCTGATTTTTGGTGTCGGAAATAAATGTAATGCGAGTGTAATCCTGTTAAATCGCAGTACTATAAATCACGTGCTAAATTACTTTAAAAAGTATAACATAAATTTTAATCATAAACAAAATAAAACATTTTTTTTTATATAATTTCTAATCTATATTCAGAACGCGTTTTCATATGTGCTTTAAGGTTGAAATTTTACATTGTAACTATGTGAACTATGTACTAAATACGCATCATAAAAGCGTATGCCAAATGCGGCTTTCCTATCTCGATAAAACGCACGGCTCCGAATTCCGAAAATGACTGAAATTTTTCACGCGTAGCGTTTATATACCATATTCGAAAGCTAGCGCGATCCAATGAGCGCCCGAGCAGCGAGGCAACGCGCTCATTGGCTGGCATGCGAGTGGTGGGGTTCGCAGTCTGACGGCTAATATAAATATCGCGTAATTTCCGATCTCACACGTTTTTCCGATTTGAGCAGGGGATAGGGTTATTTCCTGTCATTCTAACGTTGGAAAGTTCACAACCCTGTCTTCGAATCAATTATGACTTTCTCTCCATATTCTAATCTCTGCACAGAATCTCTCAGAATGAACGGCGAGAAACGGCACAAAAAGATCGTCCATCGTTGGATTTATTTACTAAGGTAATCAATAATTTTAATTTTGTCTTTACTTTTTATAACAGTTTAAATATCGCGTACTGTAGAGTCTAATATAGTACTAGCACACTGATTATTCGGACAAAAGTATCTTTCTCAATACTCGTTCGATCGAAAATCAAAACGCGCGATTGTGTTGTCGCGTCTCGCGTCACTTTTTACGCGTGAAGTTGACCGCACGCGAAAAACGACGCCGCTTCCCCATTTTGATCGCATTCACATTTCATTCGCGGAATGCGACGGATAGAGGATGACACGGCGAAATGAACTGGCTCTCGGACGAGTGGCAACGCGATCAAATACGGTAATTAAAACTTATATAAAACCTGAATGTATAACTTGATTGTATATTGTCGGTATTTAACTATCGCGTGACTATAGATTCAGTGTTTGTATACTAATAATCATTTTGAACGCATATTTCGTACAACAGCTTGAAAAAATAATTAAACAATCACATGGATCAATTGTTGAAATGTGATTAAATTAATAGAATAAAATTTTAGTGATTATTCTTTATCCATCTCGGAGAATTTCTTGTAGCTGCAGTTCATAAAAATAAAGGTTGTAGTTGACATCCATTTTCTCAGATGGCACTAATGCGCGGAAACATATCTCGCTATTACAAGAAAAAGGCGGCATAAGTACAAATAAGTGACATCGTTTTCTTTTCTCTCCTAAATCGCAAAAATAATAATACAAATCCAAAGATTCGATTCTTTTTTTCATATTGCAACTTTCTATTTTCGAAAGATAGAATGTATTTCGTGTTTAATATAAAGTATATGAAATATATGTGTAATACAGTATATCTTTATATGCTTTTGAGTTTTTTACTTTCTATACAGAAGCTATGCATTTTGTCGGTCATCAGCATGTCCAGATCTATTAGAGTGCATACTCGGTAAAAAATTTTTCATGCATGAATATGTATAAATATTTATAAACATACATAAATATTCATAAATGAATATTTATGCATAATCATATATGAAATATGTTCATTATACATGTTCATACATCCCTCTTTTTTTTTGTAAAATTATTTTTTAATGTAATAGAAATATTAATAGTAATGTGAAAACATTAAAAATAATTAAAAGGATAATTTTCACACTATTTGTTTTAGAAAAAAATCAAGTTTGAAAAATGTAAAAAAAATTACTTATGTATAATTATATACAAAATTATGCATAATTGTATATTAGCAATTTTTTTTATATTTCTTTAAACTTGTTTTTTTTTTCTAAAACGAACATTGCGAAAATTAACCCTTTAATTATTTTTTATGTTTTTACATTACTATTATTATTTCTATTGCATTCTAAAAAGTAATTTTACAAAAGAAAGAGGGATGTATGAACATGTATGGACATATTTCATATATGATTGTACATGTTTATGAATATTTATGTATTATATTTATAAATATTATGTATATTTATACACATACATATTTATACATATTCATGCATGAAAAATTTTTTTACATTTCGTGTGAGCATTGCAGTTCACTTCACCAGTTTGAAGAACAGTCTGATATCTGATGAAGTGAACTGCAATTTATTCATCACGAAACGTTAGCATTCTAATAATAATAGATCTGAACACTAAGATAACTCGCAAAACGTATAGTTTCTGTATATATCTTTATATATATCTTTATACTCGTATATATTCATATTTACTCAAATTTTTGTACAATTTATATTAATATATAGTTGATGCTGATTTATAATATATACATTAATTCAGAAAACTCAATTTTGCATCATTTAATCAACATTGAAGAAATAGTACTGCACGCTGACCTCTCTCATCATCTTCCGCATTGCATTCACCACCCATAACTGCATATAATGATAATATGCTTGCAAAT